GCAGAAGCACGCGAGAACGCGCGCGGACTTGGATGATGCCCTTGCGGCCATGAGCAGCAGGAGCCTGGCCCAGCACAACAAGGCGGCCTGGAGCACAACGTCCGGAGGAGGCGACGTGCGGCAGGAGCGCAGCATCAAAGACGAGCCCACTGCAGCAAACGGGGTGCAATCTGAGCCTGTGCTGCCTGGCTGCAAGGGCGCACCGACAAGGGAGACAAAAAAGTAGCCCAGGCGGGCACAACAGGTAGTGGGCGCAAGGCCGCAAGCCCACTGCACTGCGGCAGCACCCGAGACTGCTCAAGCTCACGACGAGCAACTGGGCAGGAAAAGACACGGCGACCGCACAGAAAGGCCGCCTCGGGCGCCAAGGGCGTCGGCGCCCACAGCCCGGACGGCGCAGACTCGCCCACCACGCGGACCTAGCCGCGCGGAGGCGCCACAATGCGCGCCAGCTTCAGCAGAAAGCTGAGCCCTTCCCGCGAGGATCTGAACACCTGGGCAAGCGGCGCGAGAGCCACCGCGAGGACCAGCCCCCACTGCACGAGAGCACCGCCGGGCGGGGGAGGAGCACGGTGGCGCACAGACCGGCAGCGGCCGGAAACAGAAGCCGAGGCGCCAGCCCCGGCACCCGCGCCAGTCCTGGGCAGCGAGCGCGGGCCGCACCGGGTTGAAAGCCAGTGGGGGTAAGCCAACCAGCAAGGGCACAGGCCGAGCCGAAGGGTAAGGGACGGCCAGTCCAACAGGGAGTACGTCGACCCCTATCCCAGGCTTTGGGAGGTTTTCGAATGGAGCAACAATTTGGGGCCCATCCCTGGGATATACGACGGGGGGCGCGTCCATCCTCGACAGGGGGTGCGTCCGAAAAGCCCCCCTGGGGTGTATCCCAGGGTTCCCCCCTTTCCGAGCGGCCAATCCTTTCGGGCGGAACCTGGGGGCGGGGGGGGAAACATCGCCCGCGGCAGTCCGCCCTCGCCGAAGAAGGCCAGCCTCCGGCCAGGTCAGGCGCGCAAAGGCCGCTGGCGCAGGCAGGCCGTGCTGAACAGAAGGGGTGCCCGAGCGAGTCCTGCGGCGACTGGCGTCGGCGTCGGCCGCCCGCTGGGCAAGACGCAGGACGAGCCCCCCGCGCGTGCCTGGGCCGTCGGAAAGCGCCGGCGCGCCGCGGGTGTGACCGGGCGCCAACAGGCGAGAACGGCCGCAGAGACTCGCAGCAGGGTGGCCCCGCACAAGCACCACGGCCCCACGGTGAACGGTTTCCCCCGGGGCCGTAGGCGACCCGAGGAGGGGAGGGCGAGGAGGGGGCGGAGGAGGAGGAGGAGGAGGAGGAGGAGGAGGAGGAGGAGGAGGAGGAGGAGGAGGAGGGAGGAGGAGGACAGGAGGAGGGAGGAGGAGGAGGAGGAGGAGGAGGAGGAGGAGGAGGAGGAGGAGGAG